GCCGAGCAAACAAGCGCGAACTACTGCAGGACCAGTATTACCTTCGACGAGACCCACGACAGGATCTTCAAGTTCGCAGCTACCGGACTCACCAATGGCTACATCGCCGACCACACTCCGACATCCACCTACCAGCACCACCAACCTACGACGACTAAATCAAGACGAAGTAATGCAACCAACAAAGGCTCAAAAGACGAAAGCAGGAACTACTGTCAGGACGACCGAACAAGACACTACAGAACCACAATCACAACGACAACGGATCAACGTGATCGCAGCAATCGAACTACACAACGGAACTACAATCCAATCGCACACTAACGACGACCCCGACGAACAACAACAACCAATCATTTTTGACAACGAAGGAGGAATGAAAACAGAGGCAACACAAATGAAACTACACGAAGTCTACGAAGAAGTAGACATTTCCACACTTGACCCCTCTACAATAAGGGAGGGAGATTGCTTCCCTACACGATGGGTACACCGTGAGAAAGGACAACAAGTTCGCTCACGCATCGTTGCGAAAGGCTACAGCGAGAAAGTCGACGACGAGGACTCCGTGTGTGCATCTACACCAATGTTCACAATGCTACGGATACTTCTACTCCTACAACTAGCACGACCAGGATGGACAGCGCGGCTAGGAGATGTATCTACAGCATTCCTACACGCACCGCTCTTACAGCACAACGAACAGCCAACCTACATTGGGCCACCAAAGGAACTCTGCCCGCGACAAAACAAACTGTGGCGAGGAAAAGCCAGTACGGACTACGCAGTTCACCAAAGGCATGGCAAGACTACTTAGCGCAAGTCCTACAAGAACTCCGAACCCAACGTCTGCACTTCGCCTACAAGAGACTGCTACATCATGGTGTATGTTGACGATCTACTTGTTCTTGGCGACCCAACTGTAGTCGACAAGACCTTTGAGGCGATCCAACAACGGGAACTACTCAAACACATTGGCTACATTGGACCACAACAACCACAACAAATCCTTGGAAGAATCATCAAAAACAACGGTGATCGCATCACCATGGCGCTGGCCGACTCCTACATCAACAACATTATTGAGGAAGCAAGCCTCAAGAACTGCAACCCTGTGGCTACACCTGGAATAGCACACTACAAGCCCACAGTGGAAGATGCAGCGCTGCTTGACAAAGAACAACGCAAGAGGTACAGACGTGTTGCAGGAAAACTACAATGGCCAGCCTACACAAGACCAGACATTGCTTACTCTACCAAAGAACTTGCAAGAGACCGCGCAGCACCTACAGAACTTCCCAACAAACGAGTGAAACACTTACTACGCTACCTTCAAGGAACCAAGCGCTACAAGTTCATAATACAACCGACCACTACACTCAACTCTGACACCAACAACTGCCTCGACCTTGAGACCTACGTTGATGCCGATTGGGCAGGATGCCCAACACGCAAATCAACATCAGGCTTCAACATCAAACGACTCAACGCAACTATAGCAGGTGGAAGCCGAACTCAACTACAGTTGCTTTCAGCTCAGCAGAATCAGAGCTCTACGCAATTTGCACTGGAGTGACTGAAGGACTACACTTGAGACCCTTCCTCCTGGAAACAAACATACGCAGCCTATCATACAGCGTGCTCCTTATTTTGGGGGAAAAGTGTGTTATGACGTTATTTCCGTAAAATGTGTGCTCCGACACATGAAATGCAAGATGTGCAATATTTGCACATGAGACAGTTAAATTAGATGGCAAATAGTGATTAATCATAGGAGGAGCACAGCGTGCTCCTATTGTTTGTGTGGGTGTAAATGTGATGATGTGCAAGAGTTTGTGAATAAAATCATGGCAGCCAATATAAAATCACTAGATGAGCACAGCGTGCTCATGATATTTTAGTAGGATATCGGCTATTTACATTCAACATACGCATTCACACCGAGCCCACGGCAGGCAAGAGCATAGCTACACGACAAGGTTCAAGCAAACGAGCAAAACACATCGACCTCAAGTTCCTCTACACACAAGACCTCATCAAGAACAACATTACCAAATTAGCAAAGATCAACACGCTTCACAACAGTGCAGACATCTTAACTAAGTACACTACAAAGGACATACTCACACGACTTGTTCAGTCACTGAGCATGAGTGTGTAACTACCAGCAGCAACAACAACAACAACGACCGTTTCACAACACGCCATTTTCCCCGTTGGCGGCACTTTTCACGCGCGCGTTGACTACACGTTTTGTACCACCTTTTTTGACTACATGTGTTGTAAATGTAACCACATGTGTATCACTTGCGCTTTGGCGGCATTCAGGCGGCTCAGGCACCGCTACATATGTTGATTGTCTGCTCGTGCCTACAGCCATTTGTTTTGCTCCACTAAGGCACCCCGTTTTTCACTACACTTGTCCATTCGTGCCTACTACAGCCATGGCCACTGGACCTTCGAGCGTGGATGCTACTCTGGGTGTGACTACACCTGACCGAGCATCAACTCCACTCGCTGTAGAAACTACAGACTCAAGTGACCAAGGGTCACTACCGGCGCCAGCCTACAACGAGAACGACTACCGATTCAACCACACAGGCGCTACACTTTACTACCAGCCAACAGCAATCGCTGAGCAACTACACATCACAGAACGCCAGACTGCAACCGTACACCTCAACGACCGCACCCGCTACATACAACTCTTCACAGCACTTACTCTTGAAGAGTATCAACTACTTTCACTACAACAAACAACACCACTCAACCGCCTTGACTACGGTCGACCAATCCAATGCATCACAGGCAACCTAAGGAAGCCACACTACGACTCCACACAATGGCAAAAGCGTGCAATGTTCACTACCGCACCGCTTCATTCCGCACCACAACTGGTCACCCTGACCCCTACGTTGTTGTCAAACTACACTTTGAGCAGGAGCTACTGCTGAGGTATCTTACCTCAGGACAACTACTTCATTTCACTCACCCGGGACTACATCTCCTACATCCACAAACACCACACTACATTCCAACCTCGCAACACGCGCAGCACACATGAGCAGGTTAGATCTACAGCCTGAAGAACAACTACATTTGGAACTACCGCATGCCCTTGCTTCTACCTGACCTACTTCATTACCTCAACCACCACGACCAACTACACGACTTTCAACACAAAGCAATCACCACCATTCTCCACAAAAGCACGCACTACTACGGCTTCACACTACTCACCATGACCGACCTCACTCCGCCGCATCGACTACAACTCAACAACTACCTTCGCTGTCACAACCTACAACTGACAGCGCCCGAGATCGATGACAATCGACTACGGGGAGCGCCCGATTTAAACAACTACTTTGTCACACACTACTTCAGCACACTCGACGACAGGCTGAAGCGAGTGCGCAACTACAGGCTTCGCAACTGGCAGCAGCATGCTTGCTGGACTACATCATTTGAGTCGCTGAGACTGCTGAAAGTTAACCAGGACCCTGCACAGTGACTCCATTCTTTGGCTTTGAGGGTTAGATGAACTACAGCCAGCAGCGTTGTAGTAGACCTACCTTCGGTCATTTTTTGCAGAACAAAAAACTACATGGGGGCGTATTAAACTACAGTGAGTGCATGATACAGTTGCATGTGCGCTACACTGGTAGTTGATACATACTGCAGGCCTTGAGCCTCACTACAGCTGGAGAAGAAAACAAGGGCTGCGGCAGACTACATTTGTTTGTGATATCAACAACACAGCACTTGCGCTTGTGTCTTAACGAGAGACAGAGAGACAGAGACAGAGACAGAGACAGAGACAGAGAACAGAGAAAAGAGACAGAGACAGAGACAGAGACAGAGACAGAGACAGAGACAGAGAGAGAGAGAGAGAGAGACAGAGACAGAGACAGAGACAGAGACAGAGACAGAGACAGAGACAGAGACAGCCCCTTCTTTGCCTCAACACTTCAACCACATTTGTGCTGAGCACTTTCGGGAGACCCAGCAGACCACTTAGTTTTCGGGGCAAGACAAAAAGTAGCAAACAGCCAGCCGGGCTTTGTGGCAGACCAACAGCTTCCGATTCCTAAAGTTGTTGAATCATGGTGCAAGCTTGTTTTGCTGACTTCCAATGCATCGCCGAAGTTTGTTGTCAGTACCTGTTGTTCCGCATCAGGTGCGCTTGATATCACTCAATTGGGCTTTGCAGGCCTTGAAGTGGACAAAGACTTTTCCCTGGCTGGCCAGCCACCTATGTATGAGTTTGTCTTCAATGTTTCGAATATGACCTGATAAGCAAATGCATATCTGTACATGTAGTCAGATAACAGTAGCTTGCAAGACAGATGCGCTTTCGTCTCACAGGATTTTTGTTCAGAAGCTGCAGCGACTGTGCCAAACTCAGACTGTCAGGAATGTCAGGGCGTTCAATTGTAATACATGTGCCAATATTGATTTGGCACGTGTGACTGCCAATAGCAAGTTTGTGAAATGAGAAACAGGGAAGTTTGTCAAGCTCCAGTTCGCAGGTACAGCGCTGCAGTTTCCGTCATTATCTTGGTTTTGTCATGATTTTGAATGGATCAGATTTGCAGTTGAGGTCAAGTGAACCTTTGGTTTCCACATCAACCCGGCAGCCAAAGAGTCTGAATCTCAGGTGTTGTTCAACATCTCCAGATTTACATGAAATAGGCGTTCCACGACTAAGAAACTGCTGCAGAGTTGGAAGGCCAACATGCCTCCTCACAAGGCTAACATGACATTGTCGCAGCAAGCCTCAACCCTGCCCACAAAACTCATGATTTGTTTTTATCGTCAGGCACGATACCGTTGCTGCTAGAACACCGTTCTCAGATTCGTCAGGCATCCGCATCTAGCCACACTGCAGCGCAGGCCCTGGGCGACAGCAGTGAGAGCAGATCACAGGCACGTCGCGCGAACAACTTTTGATCAGGGTGCGTCGGTATTGCCAGACTGATTGACCAGGTCAAGCAACTATGGATCAGCAAGGCCCGATTGTCAGTGCTCGCCAGCGCAACACAGGGCTGAGCGAAAGTTGTGGCGATGAATAGTGAATAGTGTTGAATAGTACAAACCAAATCAACGCAGCGTGAATCCTATGCTTATTGTCAAGCTCATGATGACATGTCAACAGTCAAGCAGCAGAAAGTTGCTAAGCAACCAAGCACACAAGTCCCCGGCAAAGGGCTGGTCTTATTGTCAAATAGAAAAGGCAACGGCGGGCAGACAGTTCATAAACACAACATGTTTCCTTTCAAAACATGTGGTCTTTTTTGCTTGTCACACAGGCCGACAGGGCAAGGGCAAATTCAACGATGGAAAGGGCAAAGGCTTGGATGGGATTTGTGGTTGGGCTGTGTGGCATACCATGCAAGCATTGTAGCAGGTGAGCGAGACGATTTTGATGACCGCAAAGGTGATCGGCCGGCACCCCAATCGCCTCATTTGCGTCTCCCACCATCTTTGTTCGAAGCAGGAAAGGCCCCGAAAAGGGAAAAAGAAAAGGAGACGGAAAAGGCAAAGGAGACAAAGGAGAGAGAAGTGAGAAGGGCGAGAAGGGTGACAGGAAGGGCGATGGAAAAGGAGAGAAAGGCCTTGGTGGCATTACCTGGTGATGCAGTCATGCTGGCATGAGCAGAGTTTGCTGCTTTCTTCCCTGAATCCCTGGTTGTATTTGTTGCAGGCAAAGGGAAGAGAGAGGCAGAGTGACGCTTTCGCCAGAAGAAGGAATGCGTGGGATTTGTTGAGATTTGCCAGGCCAAAGTTATGGTGAAAGGCCTTCGCGGGAAAGTCATCTCGTCACTTGCTGATTTGTGCCATGTGACCTATGAGAAGGAGTTAATCTCAGGTTTGTGAATGGCAAGCCGAGCGGCTTCATTCAGCGGACAGATGGAGAGAAGGATGACATGAACTCAGTCGATGCGATTGATGAGGGTGTACCTTGGGGTCTGGCCACCAGATGTCGATGTCCTTCAGCGACAATGCATTTGATCTTTGAATCATTCAGGTTTTCTTTGACTTGGCGGATGTGGTGGACGGAGAACTCCTGGAGGCACCAGTACCCTGTGGAAATGAAATCACAGGCTGATGGACAACCTGCATCAGTACATGTCAGCACGGAGCCTGAAGTCATACCTGTTGCCAGCGCGATGACATCGTCGAGTTCGACATTGTTGAGGGATTGCAGCTCAGAGGTTGTGCTTTGGGTATGGCATTTTTTCTTTTTTGTCACTTTGATTATTATGGTTAATATTGTTATTTCTATATGTGTATGTTTTTGTATGTGTATACATATGTATAATATATATATATACGGCGGTCCCTGCCCGCTTCCCGATGGGCTCTCGGCCGCACCCCCAGCATCACCAGCGTAAGAAAGGAACGCGCCAAAACTAATGTCCACTGGAGCCCGGAAGAGGCCGGTTGGTCAATTGGGGCGGAAGTGGACGGCAGTTCCGCGGGAAAGAAAAATGCAGAAACTTGCCTCGACTGCAGAAGCCAAATAGCGCAAGAGATGAAGCAGGCTTCACTCGAGCAGAGTTTTGACGGGCATGAGCAAAGACTACAATAGTGACATCCGCGATCAAGGCAGGAGGATTTTGAAGGGCGGAATAGATGACCCAGAGCGCCCATGCTGGACTCAAGCTTGACTTTGGAGAGTCGCTCGGCGAAATTAGCATATATGACATAACGAATTACGTAATTGCACTTTTGGAGGATGTCGCAATGATACGTAGACTGAAGCAGTCAACACCCCCAGCATCACAGTGGTTTAGCAAAGAAAATGCTTCTCCGCTAGCTGCTGACACCCTGAGCATCACCAGTGATCACCAGTGCTTTAGTAAGTGAAATGCTTCTCCACTTGCTAAACTGCATGTCGCAGCCTTCAATCTCGACTTTTGACATAGGCGACGTCCAGTTTCATTACATAGCGAGTTCCGAAGTTACACTTTTCGAGACCAACATGAGTCGGTGTGCTTCGGACTCAAGCGGCTGACACCCCCAGCATCACCCGTGTTTTAGTTAAGGACATGTTTTTGCGCTTACTACATGTAGATGTTGCGATAGCTCGTAGACGAAAGTAACTATGCAGCACCCCCAGCATCACCAGCGGCTTAGTACAAACATACTTTTCCGCTTTGAGCATCACCTCAGCAAAAGGACATGCTGCTGACTAAAGTGGATGTTGCTCTCGGCCGCAAGCTCAAGCGCTCGACGCCCCAACAACAGAGTCTTAAAGTTGATCTACCGGGCCGGAAGTTGAGGAAAATTATCTGAAAGAAACAAATCAAACTTGCCTCGGTGTTTTGTATGGGCGTGCGTGCGTGTGTGTGTGTGCGGAGTGACAGAATTACCCTGTCACCAACCTTGTATTCTCAGCAGGGGGACGTGGCGGCAATCAGGGACCACGTACCTGCCGGTGATACAAATTCCTTTTGGCCCGTTGTTTTTGCTTGTAAGCGTTTTCGACACTTAAGAGAAGCCAAGTGACTTGCGGAGTTGAAGTGTGATTACCCGTGTCGGGGGGCCCTCGGGTGTACCCATTGTGTGACCCTTGATTTTATCATGAGGGGTTGTGGGCTTGCTTTGTTCCTTGTGCTCAAGTTTGATTTTGGCTTGATTCTTTGTCTCTGCTTGCCATGCCTCGCCGTGAAGAACGTGATCGCTCGAGACCTCGGCGTCGGAGAGACAGGAGCTACACTCCGCCTCACAAAGTAAGGCGGCGCACAGACCGTGAAGAAGAGACCAGAATGCCTGATGTGCAGGACTCATGGTGTGGCAAAACCCTGCCAATCCACCATTTGTGGCTCAGAACTCCACACCATCAGCACACATGAACTACATGTCCACACCGTTCCATCCTCCTCCAGGTTATCATCATTTTCCACCTTTCACACAGTCGATGCCTGCCGCATTTCGTCGGAATCAGTAGTGCGAGTTCCACTACGTCATCACGTCCTCAAGCACCCCAGTTCTGGCCTCAGACAAACAAACCGTTGTACTGGGCACACAACACTGACAAGCGGGCGGTCATCAACATCCTGAAGCTTCACCGAATGATGACTTCAGCAATGAGAATGATGTGTGGATTTCGCCAATTGGGGTTCTACTGCTTGGACAGACCCTTTTGCATAGGAGGCGCGGCTTGTGTGAGACAGGGCCACTGCTTGGTGCCCTAAGGCGGCACGTGCGCAGATATTGCGGCATCTCATTTTCATGACTGTGTTCACAGCAAGGATGGTAGGTGGAAACTCCGATCTACAATTGCTGGGCCTTCGTACTTGGCGATCTTCTGGTGATGCTGACCGATTGAGGTACTCTTCGGCTTCTGGCCTTGCCAATCTATTGCGCTGCTTGTGGCCTTCGTCTTTTGTAGGCACTTTTTCATGATACCAATTCATGACGCTCTCTTGCATGAAAACATGTCCGTTGTGAATCATGGCATGCCTTTTCTGTTGCTCCTTGATTGTTGCATTGACTTGTTTTGTACTGCAACTAGTTGCTTCGACACCGTAACCTGCCTCCTTTCTCGCCTATGCATCATGGAGACCTATTACGAGAGTGTCGAAACCTCCTGTTCACGATGACGGCGCAGATGAACATCTTGCTTGTGGGTCAAACACGTCTTGAAACGCGACGGTGTTACCTCCACCGACAATACCGGCGCCAGCGTCGCCCAAGCCTGCGCCGGTCCATGCTCATGAGAACCCGACACCCATCACCTTGCTTCTACCACTCCAGCGGTGCACAATCCAGTAGTACCACTCAGCATCTCCCATAGTGAGTGTCGTGAACGCAGTCGCAGACGACGCTCTTGGTACTCCTGCTACGCTGGTAAAATTGATGTCGCTTCTTGTGCTCCAGTTATTCCTTGATGCCTTGAATGCAGCCGTACTTTACTTGAATTGGTAGTGAATTGCGGTTTGCGCCAGAGACGCGCTCTGCTCCATCTCTACACCGGCCCCGGAATTCTCGGCGCGGATTGCGGCCTAGAATAGTTGCCGAATATCTGACACCGGAACATGTGGATCGAGATCGCGATCGCCACCTCCTACTCGTACGAGGCCGATGGATACCACTTTCACCTGGTTTGTTCCTCTTCCACATCCGAAGCCAGAGAACCGGACGGCTCGCTGTCCACCTGCGGTAGCTATGGGTCCTCCTCTTCTCGGAGACCGCCCCTCATCAACTCCGGCATTGACTTCGCACACACCACGAACTACTACCGTGGTGGACCAAGCCAGGACAGTTGCCTCTTCCTCATCCTCTGAAGATTCAATCGCTCCGGATCCGGACGCCTCATCTTTTCGCCTAAGATCCCGCATGTGCCTACCGTCAACCATTCAGTTGAACGAGCTGGTGACGCAAAACTGACAAGGGTTCCAGGCCTACGTGCAAATCCATCGCCTCACGCCTGAAGAAGAATACGGAAGAGGTGAAACACGCCTGGAAGGTGCACCAGAAGCTCCATGGCGTGGCGAAAAATGTCTCCGTGCACTTCTGCTTTTCATGTCTTGCTTGGTTTTGCTTGCCTGTTCTTCCAGACATGATGGATCCAAGTGTTCAGACTATTACTTGGACGCATAGAATACCACGGGCCAGCGCATGAAACTGATGCGCTTCAACCTCTTCCCCCACCACCGCCGCCTCCTACGCAACGCAGGTTGATTTGATCTTCGAGGTCCACCAACCGAGGCGCTCCCTCCACCGCCACCTCCACCACCGCCTCATTGGTGACACCCCGACTGGAGACCGCCAGTGCGCGCGCCCAATCCTACTGGTTCTGCATCCTCCGCATCAGCCCGCCCCCAGCTGCTGCAAATCCATGGAGACAACTCAGGAGTTCCTTGTCTTCTCATCGACCGCGGACCAGCGCCAACACATGCAGACTTTGCCATTGGAGGAGTCCCATCGCCTCAACCACCTCAAGCTGCTCTCATCGACCCCGCACTGTTTTCATGCCCAGAAGATCGCGGACTCCTTCCTGCGCACATCGTCGCCACGCGAGACTCATCCAACGCAAGATGTGTCTCCATGATGTTGGTCACTTTCATTGCAGATGCTGGGCTCATCGACACCGTCAACACTAGTGAGTGGCCTCATTGACTTGCAGTGCTGACTTGTGTTTGAAATGCTTTGTCTTTTTGACCTTGTCTACTAAACTTACTAAACATCTTTTGCAGCGCGCGTGGACGGTTTCGCACCTTTGCCTTGGTTCTTTTCCTGAAGACGTTTCGGAGTCAAGTACGGACCGTGTGCGTGCCCTGTCCGGTTGAGCCATGTTTACCTCCACCGTGATTGGACGGTGGACGCTTCCGAGGTATTTTTTCGAGTACGACGTCAGCGCTGGTCCTGGAGACAGCGTACATGCGTGGATTCGGGCGCACACGCCTCGGCAGCAGCTGGGAGATCCCAGGGTTCGACTGGTGCCACCTCCTGTGTTTGTACCAGGTCCTCACGCTATAAACACGGGTGAGTCAACAGCCTCTTCATCGGCGGCGTTTTCGGCTTCTGACGGAGCGTGGAGAAGCCCTTCGCCGCCAACTTTCAATTCGGCTTCCAACAGGGGTCACCTCAACCTGATTTTGATTGGGATGCTGAGTGACTCTGCGCGCATCTTTTGGTTGATGAAATCATTTCTGCTTGTTGCTTGATGAGTTCTCTTGCTTGGCCATGTGTTTGCGGTGTCTCATGAGTTTGTTTGGATTGCTTTGCATTGTATGCTGCTTCTAGTACTGCCGCGGGCTTGACATCTTGTGCAGCTGTTTGTGTCAAATAGATTGCGACCTTTCATTTGCTTATCATGCTGTGCTTGGAGTGTTGCCCTGACCTCAACATCCGGATGCGCAATGGCTCAAAGTTTGTCATCCTGGTCCCTGGATGCAGAGTGGCTTCAGCGATGACCGACCGCCTCAATTTGCCTACAGGGAACGGAAGAAGTGGCCAAAGTAAGTGATTGGGTCACTGAAGGGTTTCGCCCCCGAACCCTGGTGATGACCAGAGCCAATCCGTGCATGAACGCCATGATCAGCATCGAAACGTTGGAACACAATCATCCAGGGTGGAAGCCCGCAATGCTGTGGCGGTGCCTGATAACCACATTCTCATACTCCACGCACGGACTTCACGCAGTCTCAGCCATCCCAGCGTTCGACATTGGCGCCGGATGTGATCGCCCACCTGTCTGACCTCGCTTGCCCTCCCACAAAATCTGTTTTTGATGATGGCATGAGTGACTCATTCTGTACATTGCTGGCTAAAAAGTCTTTCTTCCGCGCTTGGCTTGATCGGTGATTGTTGTGCCTTGATCGCGTGCGTTGTGCTTTGAACATGGTTGGCTCAGCTGTTGAGACATTGACGTAGCAACAGTTTTTTACATCCCGTGTCTTTGAGTCATGGACGTGGAACGTGATGAATCTGTTCGTGCTGAACACCATGACCGGCAGCCCTGGTTGGAGTACTCCCAATGGCACGGTCAAGAACGGGTTAAGATCTACATAAATGGAGAAGCACAAATGTGGCGCCAAAACGATGCCAAACCGTTTATGCCCAGAAACACCTATCGGAACCCTGTTCTACCTGAAGGTGATCCACTACCTGGTCCTGCTGGGCAACATCAACAAGATGAATGGCCGCAATGGGCAATCGCCTTGGACCAACGGATTCGAACTTGCGAGGAGTGATCGGCGCTCAGGACATCACGGACAGGGATGACCGCGTCACCTCCCTGCGCAGCGACCGTCTCAACGCTGATTCTGCCAATACGCAAAGGGTGTCGACAGTTCTCCCGAATCAATCTCATCAGCAGTTTCCAACCCCTGATGGACAATTGCGATCGGCTGGTCTCTCCGTCCAGAACAGACATCTACTTCTTGCGCTACCTATTCACACCATGGTGATCCTTGGACCCCGTCTTCTGAGCGTACTCCTGAGGGACGTGCTTCTTCCCGCTCCCCACGTCGCTCAGGACTGTTTGGTCAACATTCGGATCCCTTTCAGGGCGTCTTCCAAGGAAAAAGTGTCTCTCGCCCTTCGTGGAGCTATGTGCGCGGAGTGACAGAATTATCCTGTCACCAACCTTGTAATCTCAGCAGGGGGACGTGGCGTGCAATCAGGGACCACGTCCAACGAAGCTACCTGATTGCACGGGAAGCAGAGCCTGATCAGCTCTGTGCACTTGCCGGTGATACAAGTCCTTTTGGCCCGTTGTTTTTGCTTGTAACGTTTTCGACGCTAAAGAGAGGGCAAGTGATTTGCGAGCCGAAAATCCTCCCACTCGAAGCTTACCGGTTGTACTCGAAAGATGAGATCTTTACTTTGTGAACGTGTGGGTGGAGGCTTTGACCATTGCTTTTTGTCACTGAGGCCTAGATAAGAAGTCCTGACCTCACTGTTTCTATGTGCTGGGGCATCCTGGGGCATGTTCAGACCGCGGCGTTGCTACCATGCACGACTGCGCTGCAATGATTGGAGACTGCGCTACTGTGAAGGCTCTACGGCTCCAAAGTCAGGAAGCTGCCCAAAGAAACAGATCTCAAAGAGGCGTCACGCACACAAAGCCATGATTCAAGAAGTTGCTGTATTTGGGATGTGCTGCAATAAGTGTAACTGCAACATGTGCCAGGAATCCCAGGTTTTGAAGTCCACCACCGTTCACACAGCTTCTAAAGCTGGGTCACTTACCGGTGGTCTCAGTCTGGGTCGGCCGCTTGGATGTGTGCAAGCAGTGCAAGCACGAGAATAGAAATTCGGAGCACCATGAAGCACCTGCAGCCATTGCGGTGACCTTGCTTGGACCGCTGCTTTTGGCTTGGCCAGTTGGCTGTGTAGGGCCAGGACCGCACAAGCTGCGCTCGTATGGCCACCAAACAGGCCCAAGATGCTTCAGAGTGCTGTGTCATTTTGCAGTTTGTTTGCAGTGGCCAGCGATTCGAAGGGCCGGATGACTCAAGCTAAGCATAGTGGTATCCTTAAAGGCGGGATAGCGAACGACTCAGTGATTTTGCCAAGCAGAGCGAATATCAGTGACGCACAACTCGACAGCCCTTGCTATCCCTTGACATGCAAGTTGGTACACACTCGGCAGGGTGCGTCTTGAGTCGAATATGTTGTGTTGGGTGAAGCAATTGTCAGTGCTGAGAGCTTGTCGCAGCCAAGTATGGTCCGAGGCCAGCATTTGCGTGCTGCTATTTTTGAGGACGGACCTGTGCCTTTCTATCTGAGGCTAAGCCTTTGCAACTCTGTTCACATTGAAGCATGAGATACTGTTGGAAGCTTTTGGGTGCTGCATATACCTTCCTGAGCAGCCTTGTATTAGTGCACTGATTGAACGCCTGCTGACGTGGATGAAGCTTGCACGCCCAATTTGTAATGTCCAGCGCAGCTGCGTTTGTTCAGCCCATTTCTTTGGCAGGCTTGGCTCTCGCCCAGCATGGCTTTTCGCAACAGACTTGGACGTGCGAACTTGCAAGATCCCACTGAGCGATGTGGCGCCAGTGAGCATGCTAGGCCAACGGGACAAACGCTGGCCGCTTCAGAGGCCAAAGCTTGCAGCCAATGATAGCACCAAGATGCACCAAGCATCAGTTGAGGGCACAACAATGAAGGATTGGAGCCTGGGCATCGAGCAAGAGTGGCAACCTCAGGCATCAGTTTGAGGAGATTGAAAGCACCCAGCCCAGGGATCATCCAAGGCAGACAGAAGGCAGGTGAAGCTCAGGGGTTTCATCGCCTCATGGCTCTCTTTCGCCCGAGCGTTTGAAACTGTTGAAACTTCTGGATGCTTTTGGATGCTTTTGAGCTTTTGACAGAGTTTGAGCATGCACGGCTGCTGTGGCAGTTCCGCATGGAGTGCCGCTCCTGTGGCTCCAATGGCTCTTCTCGGCGGCCATCCGCTCAGTGGGCAGGCGTGGCTGCGTGGCTGTTGACCTGAGAGCCTGAACTCAGGCGCAGCAGCTCGCCGCCGCCGGGCAAAAGGCCGTGTGTGAATTTCAATATGGACCATCCAATACTCGAATTGAGTATTGTTTCAATTGAAATGGTTGAATCCAGTGTTTGTGATGCCTGTGCCCAGAAGGGCCCGCGCTGGCGGCAGCCGGCGATGCCGAGGCAGGTCTTTGCCCTTTTGAATTTGTCTAGTTTTGTCTAGCTCTTCGGTTGATCAGGTGCAAGTCGATACCAGATCGAACACCTCTAGAAAGTTACAGAATAGTTTCTGGTTTGTGCAACGTGCGATGCTTGCCAGTCAAAGTTATGTGTAAACTGCAAAACAGACCACCTGACACCACTCATTTGCCACAAAACGCTGGTTCGCGGTGCTTTCTGACCATGGTAGTGCTTGGGCTGATAGAAATCAACACGATTTGGGAGCTGTGAATTCTTTCCTACTAAATAGTTTTATTTCCTTATACTCAAAGTCGAACTGAAAATAAATAGAATTTGATAAGACCAGAAATCAACAACAGTCCTATTTGAAAGAGAGTTTCAACTTAAACGTTAGACAGGTTTTTGTTTCCCATAGAATTGTCTTTGTAATCAGTTAGCATTAAAATTTTAAACACAATTTATTTAACAATTTGAGACCTCTGAGCTCTTTCCTTAGGAAGTTTACTTTCTATATGATGAAATCCACTCATTTCCTAACTTAAAATTAGACTTTTTTAAAGGAAAGTACAGGGACATAATCCTATCAGCATTTCTATTTCTTGTTCGAATTGTAATAATAACTCTTATGAATAATAAATATGGTATTTCAATTCAGCACAATATACGCAGGATGTCCTTTCCAACACAATGTCCTTTACATGTAATACTTTGCCAAGGCTATGTGAACTACACAATACAGAAGCTCTTGCGAAGACTGAAACGGGATATGCAAACATGCAAACACCTCGAGAGAGCCAAACAGTAAAATCGACGCCTCACATCCTGGAACCACTCCCCAATTGAACATTTTTTCGAAAACTCAAGGAGTTTTGCATTTGGCAAAGTGCGAAACACGACGAGTTTTCCAAAATAGCAAACGAACAATTCAGACCCGTGTCATAGATCCAGGAACCACTCCCCAATGGGTCTGAGCTTGCAGTTTTTTCTTTGAGAAGGGTCAAGGTTTTGTTGCACATGTCCCAGATGCAGATGCGATGCAGAGGCAGATGCAGATGCGCATTCGTCCATGTTTACCTAGATGCTTATTTTCATGAAAAAGCGCACGCTCAGGGTAACGTGTTCTAAAAAGAAAAGGGGGAAGAACTGCAGGCACAAATGGGTGATCAGCCCATGCTTCCTTCCCTCACCATACCATAGCTTCGTTGCGTCCGGTAGGTATGGTGAGCCTGACGCCACAGCATCAGCACAGTGCGCACACACACATACACACGCAGACACATTGCGGCAAGCACAAAAGCAAACGCACGCGTAGCAGCGCAAGTGCACACAGGCACTATTGCGCGAACCGGCAAGCTTGCAAACAGCCCACAACTCCATAAGGCCACAAGCCTGCCAACCCACACACCCACAACGCGCGCAGACGCCAACACACAAACGCGCAAGTACAGAAACACATAAGCGCACGTGTTTAGCCTTGCATACTTCCTCAGATGGCTGCCTCAGTCCCAGATCAAGGTCCGGCCAGGCCCTGAGTCACTTGTGCTCCAGCTAGCAAAGTCCACTTTGCAATTCTGTTGAACGTGGCGGGTGGTCGGTTGTTGATTTTATGCTTTTAGGTCCTTGTCACTCACTTCAGTCGGCCGTTGCTTTCTCCATGCCTCAATAGTGATGGTGTGGCAGCGTCACGCTGCGGCGGCTTAGGCAGACCATGCAAAACGAAGCTTGTTTCTCCAGGCAAAAACTCAGGCATCCGAGACACAGAAGCCGAAGCGCCACAAGGGAACGCCAAAGGCAACATTGCAACATTTATCCATAGGCTCAACAGTTGCAGAACAGTTTTGCCCCTCAGTGACCGTTACTTTGCGTATCAACTTGATTCAAGCAGTTTAATCGTAGAACATGTCCGCTGGGACAACCTCCCAGCTTCAAAGCAACAGCCATCATTTCAGTCACAAAGCGATTTTGCGACGCATCGTTGGAATCTATTGGACCCCAGCGTATACGCAACCGCATTTTAAAGGCAATGATCTTAGCATGTGCAGGGAGCCAGCTGTATTTGTGTTACCTGTGACGTCCAAATGCGTCCAAACCAATTTCAAATTCAATCGACGCTGCAAACACGTTCCTCACAGACCGATTGATACAAGCATTTTTCTGACCTGGCCAAGCGGGCGCGCGGAATAAGTTTGAGTGTATCCTGAGGCATTGCCGTGACAGCCTGAAGCAACTCACTGTATCAAGCTCCATCAAACACACGGCACTGGAATTAGTTCCTCAATTTCTTCACACAAATTGCCGAGCAAGAGGTCGCGAGTGTCAGAGCTTGGAACATGACTCATTAATTGTTTTGTTCCGTTGTAGCTCCTCACACTGGTGAGTGAACATGTGGCTATAAAGTCAAAGGTCTCAGGAGTTTAAAACCTCCCTTGAGGGACCTTGAATCATTGAACGCAGGACATGTTTAGCCTTATATGCTTTCTGAGATGGCTGCCGCAGTCCCAGATGAAGGTCCAGCCAGGCCCTCAGCCACTTGTGCTCCAGTTAGTATGCTTTTTAGGTCCTTTTCACTCACTTCAGTCGGTCGTTGCTTTCTCCATGCCTCAGTAATGATGGTGTGGCAGTGTCATGCTTCGACGGCTAAGGCAGACCCCGTAAAACGCCCATGCCTCGACTTTAGCAACTGGCTCGCGCGTGTCTTGATCAGTCAGTGACCAAGGTGGCGGCAATGACCCTATCAAATCTTTTATGAGAAAGATGTCCGCCACTCTTTTGCATTCTGGAAGTTCTGAAGGCGAGGATGCAACGATCCATACAGCACTTGCGACTCGAGTGACCAAGGAAGATCCTGAATTTCAGGAGGCCATCCTTTCTTGAGCGGGTTGCGAGGGCATCCCTGACTGCCGCATTTTGCTGCAAATTGGTTTGGGCTTTGGCAGGACATCAAAACATTCTTCACATCATTAACTGTGGTTCTGCCCTGAGAGCAGATGCTCCTTTGAGCATCACGCTTGTATCAGATCATCATTCCATGAGCAAGTTTGCCGTTACATACTTGTATGTAAACTGACAAACCCTGCATCGATAAGGCACTAATGATCAGAGGATTTCTCGTGGAGTGCGGCGCCTGCGTGATCCTGTGGCTGTTTTCAGAACTTGGTACGGATTTTGAGGCCTCGCTTCATTCCATCCCTTTCTATGTACCCAAACTTCGACATTGGCTGCTTGGATCAAGGAAGCGGCTTTTTGGCCTTGTCTGCGTCAATCTGAGGAGATCAGCTGACTGTCGACAAGATCTCCAAGAATTGGCAACATGCTCAGGTATCAGAGTCCTGATTGAAACACCTATGCTGTTGTAGACAGCTAAGCAAGGGTCAAGCTGGTCAAGGGTATTGCAGGAAACTTGCTTTCGATGCCATGCAAAGGCGGGACTACCAACGAAGAGATGTCGTTGTCTTCAATCCGCCACCCAAATTCAACGAGGTTGTTGGCCACAGCCTTGATATGCTGATATGCTTCACATCAACTACTGAGTGGCTACATGTGCCATTTGGCGCTCACTGAACACGACAAGGCGGCGACCGATCTGGAGAAGCCTTGATTAAGAGAATTG